AGCCTGGGCCCTACAGGATCCCCTGGGAGAAAAACAAGAAGCAGCAGAGAGCCCAGGGCTGTGCCCTGTGCTGGGAAGGGCCCTGCTGAGAGCTCAGCCTCTAGGGTGGCTGCTGAGGAGCTGCAGCTGGGTTAAACTTACCCAGCTGGGTCATTGTTTGTAGGGCGGTTCTTGCTGTTCTCCCTCTGGTCCTCAGGAGAAATTCATCCCTTGCAAAGCCCTGAGCTTTCAGTGGTGCTTCTGACTGCCAAGCCCTGGGTAAAGCTCCCAGAGCCACGGCCCCTGTGTCCTGCAAACGTTTCTGGGAGGGGTGTGGAGCAGTTTCATGTTTGTGTCCTCATTCTTTTGTCCACAGAGCCATGGAGGTCCCTGCAGGGTCCTCTGCTGGGCAGGAATCCTCCTCTGCTGTGCCTGCTCCCACAGCTCTTCCCAGCGAGCCCCAACCAACCCCAGCAAAACCAGTAGAGATCACGGTGCTGATGGCACAGGACCTGGTAAAAAATCCTTCTGGGAATGTCTCTGGTGGTTTCCTGAAGGAGGCCAGAGTCCTTCTGTGTGCTGTGGTGCCAGCTGAGACCAGCCTGGGAGGTGATGAGGCTGCAGGAAGGAGTGGTGGGAATATTGGAGGTTCCCCCCTCCCCATTCGGGGCTTGTTCACACACAGAAAAGGCTCCTGGTCCATGAGGTGCTGTCTTAAAATGTGCCTCCCTGCTTAGCTGGTTGTAAATGGTGGCTTTTTCAAAAGAAAAACCACCATCAAAATGTGTCTCAGGGAGGCAAATGTCTCTAAAAAGATCCAACCTTGGATACCAGGCGAGATGGGATTTAAACCCAGGTTTTCATCCCAGTTACCAGTGGTTTAAATCGGATTGAAACCAAGAGGGTGGCTCTAGTTTTAAAACCAGGCCAAGATTCTGAGCTGGTTCTGACTAAGCCATGACTGCTGTGGTTCCCATGTGCTCCATGAGGTATCAAGCTGTCCTCCAAGTCTCCTGGAGGAACTGGCATTCAGGAGGGAATGTGGAGGAGAGGCTCAGCTGCTGCTGCAAGCAGGAAAATGCAAATCCTGCTGCTCTAGCAGCAGACCAAGAAGGGCAAACCAAAACCACCTGCCTGGGGGGTGTTTTTTGCAGGTTTTTACCTCGTATTTGAGAACCTCTCACTCTGAGAGACTGAGCAAACAGCATCTGGAGTTGAGGAGCAGGAGGGAAGAGGAGGGAAAACAAGGCTGAAAGTAACATACCTGATTGTGTCTGGAATGTTGGGGCTCTGATTGCTCTGGCTGGAGGAATGACTGGGGCAAAAAGGAGAGAGAGTGATTAAAAGTGCAATAATAAGAACAACAGTGTGAAAAAAAATAATAATCCCAGCTGTGAGAAGTGTGGAATCTGCTTAATTAGAGGTGATGTAGGGAAGGAGGAGAGAGGAGTCTGGGGTAATTAATGGTACAGGGAAAGGTTAATTGGATTCATCTGTTTAGCCATTCATAGAGTTCATGCTCAAGGAGACAGAAGGACTGAAAATTAAAAAGGAAGTGAATGAAATATCTTCTGTGCATGAGCCAATATGGAACTAATTGCCTCAGTGACACAGGGAGAGGGAGCAGAGGGAGTGGTCCCTGGAGTTGAGGGATCCCTGTGGCTCAGGATTAAAGGAAAGTGTGGTTTGAGACCAGCAGCCCTGGTGGTCAGGGTGGTGGCTTTCCAAGTGGCTGGAAGTTTGGAGGGTGCTTGGAGCTCTGCTTTCATTCCAGGGTGTTCTCCAGCCCCATGAGTGTCCATGGAGCTGAGGAGCTACTTCCTTAGGAGGCAACAAATGTCTCAAGCTTCCTGGAAGGGCAGAAATAGCAATGGGATGTTTCTGGGTTTGCTTTAGCTGTGTGATTTGTTGCCTTTCCTGGGGTGAAACCTGGGCCTCTCTGTGTCCCCCCCCACCCCTTCCAGCAGCAGCTCTTGATCATCCCTGAGCCTGGGGGAGCAGGAAATTGCCACCTAAAGACAGGGAAGGGGGAGGTCTAAGCAGAGAATCATAGAATCATGGAATGGTTTGGGTTTGGAAGGACCTTCAAAATCATCTAGATTCAACCCCCTGCATGGGCAGGGACACCTCCCACCAGCCCAGGCTGCTCCAAGCCCCATCCAACCTGCCCTTCAACACTGCCAGGGATGGGGCAGCCACAGCTTCCCTGGGCAACCTGGGCCAGGCTCTCACCACCCTCACACCAAAGAATTTCCTCCTCATGTCCAACCTCAATCTCCCCTCTGCCAGTTTTAACCCATTTCCTCTCATCCCAAGCCTGGCCAAGCTCTGCTCCTCTTCCCATTCCCATTGCCCCCATTCTGTCCCCATTGGGGGCACAGCCAGAGCCCCCCAACCAGTGTGCTCTGCTCTGGGTGCTGAACCAGAGCCATCTTTGCCCATGGACAGATCCAGCTGCTGAAAGTGCTGATTCTCTCTGACAGAGAAGTCTCAAAAGTGACCTGCATGTTACTTCAGTGCACGTGGAGTACAATGGAGCCATCCTGGGAGACTCCTCCAGGGTTGATGTCCTGCCAGATGGGACAGCAAACTATAATTTCACCACCAGCTTCGAATGTCACCCCGATGGGCCCAACTCCTTGGATGACATTGCACAAAAGCCTGTGCTCTGTGAGTACCTGCTGCTGGATCTCCCTCCTTGGAGGGGGGTGCTGGGAGCTGCCCCCTCTGCCTGCCCACCCCAGGAGCCACTTGGTCAAGAATAGAATCATAGAATGGTTTGGGCTGGAAGTGACCTTCAAGATCATCTAGATCCAACCCCCTGCATGGGCAGGGACACCTCCCACCAGCCCAGGTTGCTCCAAGCCCCATCCAACCTGCCCTTCAACACTGCCAGAGATGGGGCAGCCACAGCTTCCCTGGGCAACCTGGGGCAGGCTCTCACCACCCTCACACCAAAGAATTTCCTCCTCATGTCCAACCTCAATCTCCCCTCTGCCAGCTTTAATCCATCCCCCCTTGTCCTCTCCCTCCCTGCCCTTGTCCCAAGTCCCTCCCCAGCTTTCCTGGAGCCCCTTCAGGCACTGGCAGGGGCTCTAAGGTCTCCCTGGAGCCTTCTCTTCTCCAGGCTGAACCCCCCAACTCTCCCAGCCTGTTTCCAGAGCAGAGCTGCGCCAGCCCTCCCATCATCTCTGTGGCCTCCTCTGAACCAACAGGAGGGTCCCAGCACTTCTGTGCCCACCTCTGCCAGCTGGAAGAATCCCCTTTCCTGTTGGCTCATGCTCCTCAGCTTCCCTGTTCTTGTTGGCCTTGGGAGATGAAGTAGAAGCTGACATAGACCCTGAGCTGCTGGTCTGAAACTGTCTGAGCAGCTCAGCCAGCTCCTTCCCCTTCCTCTCTCTAGTGACAGTGATAGAAGTGATGCAAAAGGAGAAGAAAAAGAAGGAGAAGACCATGCCCCTTGGCCAAGCCGTGGTGGACCTGCTCCCCCTGCTGCAAGGTACCAGCTGGGCTTCCACAGCCTCTGTCACCACTTCTGATTCCCTGGCACTTCCTGATCTGTGCTTAGGGGGCCCTGATTGTAACTTCCCTCCTCATGACAAACCACATCTGGAGATTCTGGGGGGGGCTAGGGGGTGATCCCAGTAGCTCAGCCTTCCCAGTTAGGTCCTGATTTCCCTGACTTGATGCTCTTCTCTTTTCCTTCTCAGGACAGTGTTCATTTGAGGTCTTTGCTCCTCTGTATGCGGTGCCTGCCTCTCCATCCGAGAGCCTTCAGCCTGAGGCCAAGGTAGATGGAATTTGGAGCTGTTCCTCCTCTCCCTCAGCTCCCTGCTGCCTTTTCCTGGGCAGGGCCAGCGTGACTCAGATGTTGCAGCCCTTGATGTTACCAGCTTGGAGGCCTCTCTGACTCCCTCTGACGTCTGTCCTTAGTTGCCTGTGACAAGGGGAGGTCGTGCTAGGAAATGCTAATGTGTGCAGGCACCAAATCTCTCTGGGAACAAAAGAAAAGCCAAGATGAAGAAGCCATTGCTGAAAACCCAGGAAAAGACCAAGGCAGGATTTACCTGCCTGGTGTTATTTCTCCTCCTTTCTGTGGATTAAATCTCTCTCAAGCCATTGTTGTACAAGCTCTGCCTGCCTTTCCTGCAAGGTTCTGAAATCATTCAGCCAATAATCCAGTCCAGAAAGCAGGGAATGAACTATGAGACTGGGAAAATGTGTGTGATTTGGCTCCTGAGCCTGCCTGCAGTTGGCACTGCATGAACTCCCCCATGTTTCAGGGGTGCTGCATTAGATAGTGAGACAGGCAGGGGGGCACCCATTAGGGAGGAGAGTTAATGAAGGCTGAGCAGCTGGTTTTTTGGTGCACACCATCTATCCAAGGCTGGGACAGGTAATTAAAGACAGAGGCAGGAGATAGGGCAGAGTTAAAGCCTGGCTTTGGTGTGCCGTGAATCACCAGGGGAAATCATTCTTTTCCATCCCTCATGGTTTTTTTTCCCTGGTGTGTTTTATGAGACCCTTGGGGCAGATGCCTCAAGCAGGCTCTGATTTAAAGAAAAAGATCACAGAATCTCAGGCTGGTTTGGGTTGGGAGGGACCTTGAAGAACATCTAGATCCAACCCCCTGCATGGGCAGGGACACCTCCCACCAGCCCAGGCTGCTCCAAGCCCCATCCAACCTGCCCTTCAACACTGCCAGGGATGGGGCAGCCACAGCTTCCCTGGGCAACCTGGGCCAGGCTCTCACCACCCTCACACCAAAGAATTTCCTCCTCATGTCCAACCTCAATCTCCCCTCTTCCAGTTT